TACGCTTCCTGGACACGAGCGGTAAGCAATCGGTACCAAGGCCACCACTGGTGCCCCTTTCACAGCATCCCCCCAGGTCGTCGCGTCCTCCCAGGTTGCTGCGGCTTGCTCGTGTCAGTCGCTCACCCACCCGTCGCTGCTGTGGCACCACCGCCTAGGTCACACCGCACTCTCACGTCTGCGTCACATGTCCCATTACGGTCTTATCTTCGGTTTCCCTGCGTCGCTCTCTGCCCTCCTCCCTCACCTGCACCGCCGTGCACGCCTTGCACCGAGGGCCGGCTGCGCCATGCTCCTCACTCCTCTTTGCTTCCCCCTACCACTCCGCCACTCCAGACCCTGAACCTGGATGTTTGGGGCCCAGCCCCCGTCCCTGGGCCACGTCGAGAGCGCTACTTTCTAGTGCTTGTCGATGACTACACGTGCTACACCATGGTGTTTCCCCTTGAGCGTAAGGCCGACATGCCTGACGTTCCTATCCCGTGGGTTGTAGCTGCGCGAGTCCATCGCAGCCTCCCTATGCTGCGTCTTTTCTCTGACCGTGGTGGCGAGTTCGCCTCCAATCGGCTTGGCCACTTCTGTCGTGCGGAGGGCATCACCCAGTCATACACCCTGCCGGACTCCCCGCAGCAGAATGGGGTCACTGAGCGATACATCGGTTTGGTCATGCGGGTGGCTCGTGCCTCCATAATCGATGTCGGTGCACCCCATTTTCTGTGCTCGTTCGCGGTTCGCTACGCCGCTCACTAGCTTAACCTAATGGCCACACTCCCAGCGGCCGCAGGTTTCGCCGACCGTTCTCTGGACCGGCTTCCCTGGTGACGCGTATGCGTTCCACGTCTAGGGCTGCCTTGCTCACGTTTGTGCCTCTGGCATGGACAAGCTCACGATGCGCACCGTCCCTTGTGTCTTCCTTGGTTTCCCCCTCGATGCATCTGACTGGCACTTTTACCACACGCCGTCTCACCGTTTCTTTCACTCTCGTAACGTCAATTTTGACGAGTGTGTCTCCTTCTACACCCGCTTTCCTTACCGCGGTCTACCGGTTGACCCGCCCTTGCTCCTGGTCCCCACTCCCACGGTAGCCCCTACTCCTCTTCCTCCCCATTCTGCCCCGTCTAGTGTGTCTCATGTCACTCCCCTCCCGTCGGTTGTCCCGGTGGAGCAATCTGTTGACTCCTGGGGCCCCACGGCTTTGGTTTCGCTTCCAGCCTCTGCCCCGGTGTCTCCTCCTTTGCTGCCGCCGCAGCAGCCGCAGTCACCACCGCAGCCGCAGCATTAGTCGCCGACGTCGCAGCCGCAGCAGCAGCCGCCGTCGTCGCCGCCACAGCAGCAGCCACTGCAGGGGTCCGCGAGCTCTGGGGGTGCGGGCGTTGAGGAGGGTGCTAGTCGTGGGGGTACTGTCGTGGCTTGTCCCGGCGATCCTGGGGGTGGCACCGGAGCTGGAGAGTGTTCTCATTCTGGGGGTGCTGGTTCTGGGGGTGCTATTCCTGGAGGTACTGTTGTGGCTTGTCTCGGTGGTTTGGGGGTGGCACCGGTGATGGAGAGGGTTCTCGTTCTGGGGGTGCTATCGTGAAGCGTCCTGGAAGTAGCCGTGGTGCAGCTGGAGGTTTTTGTGTTGGTGCGGCGCAGCAACAGCAGTCGTCGCCGGTGTCTGCCCTTCGCCTCCTCGGTTTTCCTTCCCCTGACCACCCGCCTTCGCCTCCGCCGCATGTCTACGGCCCTGTGTTTCCTCCGCCAGACTCGTCTCCGGCTCGTTTCCCCCCTCGTTCTCCTCCTGTGTGTCCGTCTGTGTACCCTGACCCGATGCCTCTGTCCCACTTCTGGTCTCGCCGTCCCTCTCGTGGTCGTCATGTCTCTCCGGTTCAGCGCTCTCGCCCTATGTTGCTCCGTTCCCACGTGTCTCGTCCTCCCCTCCTCCCGTCGCCTCCTTCGTCATCGCATGTTGTTGCTCCGGCTCCCCTGTTTGACTTCGTTTGTGCAGCTAGTGCTCTTGTTCCTCGGGTCCTTGCCTCCCTTGTTTCCGATCCGTCCGTTCCTGCCTCTAGTCTTGACGCTCGTGTCGCTGCCGTCACTAACTTTGCCTCTACTCACCGCCTTGACTATGCCACCGCTCTGGTCTCTGGCCCTACCCGTCCTTCGTCTGTCGGGGGTGCTCTATCCCTTGGCAGTGATGTCCTGGAGGACCGGCAGTACGAGCTCGATTTCCTGTCTGAGACCACTCCTCATCTCTGCTCCATGCTGCTAGTCCTTGATGGTGACCGAGACACCTTTGACATCCCGACCCCTCGCACTTACAGTACGCTGAGGCGACCTCGGGACTCTGGGCCTCTCAATGGATAGCTGCCATGAACGCGGAGATGGCATCTTAGATATCCACCGGCACCTACGTCGACGCAGTTCCCCCACCTGGGGTGAACGTAGTCGATGGCCGGTGGCTCTTCATGGTGAAGCGCCCTCCTAAAGTGCTGCCAATGTTCAAGGCGTGCTACGTTGCCAGAGGCTTCAGAAAGCGTGAGGGGGTGGAATTCTTTCGGACTTCTGCCCCGACCCCCTAAGATGACTACTCTTGGGCGTTGCTACACGTAGCAGCACAACGTGACTACGAGTTACACTCCCTCGACTTCTCTATCGCGTTGCTCCAGGGCAGTCTACACGAGCAGGTCTACCTGCGCCGTCCACAGGGCTTCACCGATTCCTTCCCTCCTGGGATCCATTGCCTCCTCCGGCGCCCAGTCTACGGCCTACGATAGGCGCCCCATGAGTGGCACGACACGCTGCGTGCTACACTAGCTGACCTGCAGCTCTTTCCGTCCTCTGTAGACCCCTCGCTCTTCGTTCGTGCTGACCACACTCCGTTCTACATCCTGGTCTACCTCCAGGGCAGTCTACACGAGCAGGTCTATCTGCACCGCCCCCAGGGCTACTCCGGTACCTTGCCCCCTGGTACTGAGTGGCCCTTCGGCGCCCTGTCTACAGCCTGTGCCAAGCGCCCCGTGAGTGGCACGACACGCTGTGTGCTACACTTGCTGACATGCAATTCTTGCCGTCGTCTGCGGACCCCTCGCTCTTCGTCCGCTCCGGCCAGACTCCGTTCTACATCCTTGTTTGCGTAGACGATCTGGTCTTTGCTACTGCAGACAGAGACGCACTGGCCTCCGTGAAGGCAGAGCTGCTGAGGAGACACACCTGCACTGACCTAGGAGAGTTGCGCTGCTACCTTGGCTTGTAGATCTCCAATGACAGAACAGTGCGCACCATCACTCTCACACAGTCACACTTGGTGCGCCAGGTCCTTCAAAGGTTCGGTCTTCAGTTCTCCTCCGCACAGCCTACACCTCTGCCAGTAGACCATAGGCTCTCTGCTCAAGTTCCTGAGGAGTCAGTAGAGCCTAGTGGTCCTTACGCAGAGCTGGTGGATTGCCTCATATACCTGATGACTTGCACTCGTCCTGATCTCGCATACCCTCTCGGCATCCTGGCTCACTTTGTGGCCACAGGCAGACACCGACCACAACACCGGTTGGCCGCTACTAGGGTTTTGCGTTATCTAACAAGTACATGGGGGATGGGGTTAGCGTTAGGAGGACACTGGCCAGTGGTCCTTACAGGGCACTCAGACGCTTCGTAGGCAGACGACGCTGAGATGCTCAGGTCCTCCCAGGGCTACTGCTTTAGCCTTGGTGCGGGCGCCAACTCGTGGAGGTCGACTCGCTCCTCGTCTGTTGCCCAGTCTAGCTGTGAGGCTAAGATCTACGCTGGTGCCATGGCGGCACAAGAGCTCCGCTGGCTGACTTTCTTGCTCAGAGACTTAGGTGAGCGGCCTAGCTTTGCCCTGGTCCTGTACGCTGACAACAAGGCCATGATCCTCCTGTGTCAGGAGCCTCGTCTGGAGGACAAAGCGAATCACATTCAACTGCGATACTTCCTCCTGCGCGAGCTACAGTAGCGCCACCAGGCACGCGATTGTAAACTTGGCCTCCGGTGCCAATACAGCTGATATCTTTACTAAGGCGCTTGCGCCTAAAGATCATCAGCGGCACTGTGTACAGCTTGGTCTTATTCTTGTAGCTTTTCACTTCCTATGACCTTCATTGTGTACTTCTTATATTATCCTGACTGGCCGTGTGGCTCTTATTCTAGTGGCTGGGCTGGTGGTGCCGCCCTACAGTACTCTTGTTTGGTTTTTTCTCCTGCTGACTGGTCTTCGGACCCTTGCCTCAGAGGTTGGACTAGTAGTGCCACCCTGAGCTGAGTGCCTCTTGCTAAGCACTGCCCTCTCTAGCCTAGGGGGTGTGTCAAACATATTTGTAGATGTTATTATAGGCTAGATAGGTGCATGGTACAACACACTAGTACAAACTCACCCTGTACTTCCCATTCTAGGCAATCCGTTACTCTGAGAACCAGCCGCGATAGAAAACACTTGGCAAGGTTCAAGGTCCTTTGAACCTGAAGGTATTTTTTTCGCGTGCTTTAAAGCCCAGATCCCAAATTAGTTCACACAAGTCAACGGGCAGAATTTGGGCTGGCTCGGTGGAAGAAACAATTGTGTTATTGAGTGCAAAATCATGTCATGATGTTACTTCGTGCAGGATTTCGTATGCAAACTGGGCCCAGTTTGATTTGGGGGGAGATCAAGTTGGGCCCAACGCGGATCTGATGGCTGAGACGCAGGGACACATGAAGTCCCAATTTGTAAGCACAGTAATACCGTATCCGTCGATTGGAAAACTAGCGAGAGCACGGTTTTGTGGGAGTTGGGGTTTGGGAAGCCCGAACCAACAGCGGAAACTGCACGAATCAAACTGGGCCTTGTTTGCTGACGAAATTTCCAGTGGATATCCCAACCTCGATTTCGCCTCACTTTGGCGAAGGGGTAGTTGGTTATTTTTTTCATTGGGTGCTTCGCGAGTGCGGTCAGCATCAAACTGGGCCCAGTTTTAATGCCTGCTAGACTAATTTGGGGCCTGGGCTTTTAACCGGGACAGCGAGCTGGCTGAATGTTGCTGCTGGCTCAACCAAAAGGGGATGAATGCAGAAGAACCATTTCAATCCAGCATGGAAGGTTGAACACTCTGCATTCAAGTGATAGATAGGCTTAACCTGTCCTGCTGCAGAGTGTGTTGATCGTCTGTTTTATCCACACCCTACCTCCCCACTCCCGCCATCTCTTATATTCCGTGCCTCTAGTCCCACAAGCACATCCTTCACATCCTCAAGTTCGTCGCCATCCCCTCTGCCCGCCACTGCGAGAGACCTTGTTGCAAGCTGACCATCCCTTGTCTTCTCCATCCTCTCCCCATCTCCCTCTGCTCCCCCCCATCCCCTCGCTCCCCCAGCCCCCAGTCCCTGCCGTCCTCCCCTGCGTCGTCGGCCCTGGCAGCCCCCTGCTGGCTGTCCAGGCGGCTCACGAAGGGCTCCACGCGCACGTTGGGGTGCAGCAGGCGCACCGCCTGGGGGGGCAAGGGGCCATGGAGACGCGGGGATGGCAGCATTAGCCTGTGGGGCTTCCAGTCGACGACAGAGAGAAGGTAACAGGCACATGGTATGGCATGGCATGGCATGGCATGGCATGGCACGGCATGGCATGGCACGGCATGGCATGGCATGGCATGGCATGGCATGGTACGGGAATGCCTTAGGGAGTAAGGTGCCGGTATGCAGCGGGCAGTGTTCACGTGCAGCTTTTCTGATTGGAGACTAGGCCCGCCGCACCTGCTGCCACATGCATGCCCCCTCCCGCCGGTGGCTCCCACCGGTGGCCCCTTGACATACCTGCACCTGGTGCTACCTGCCTCACCCACCTCCATCTGGCGTTGCAGGTGCCTGATATACTCTATGGCGTCCTCCAACATGTCTGCCGCATTCACCTGGCGCATCCACGCCCCACACGCACACATTAACACGCATATGCGCACGTGCCATGCATGGTACACAAAAACGAGTCAGCCGGTGGGAGAGGGTCATGGATAATAACACAGTGGACGGCAATGAGAGGCACACAGGGGGGCAGAACCGGAGAAGGGCGATTTGTTCCAGCAGGGGGGAAACACAACGGGGGTGATGCCGGGCCCACCAGCGTCACAGCGCAACTGCTTGCCTCACACACCGCATGTGCACCAGCCGTGCCCGCCGCTCAATCCCCCTGTCACTGCCCTTCCTCCCACCCACACCTGCCCTTCCACCCCCCTCACCTGCCCTGCCCTTCCACCCCTCTCACCTGCCATCCCCTTCCACCGCCCTCACCTGCAAGGCACAAAAAAACGGCCTTTTTTTCCCCGTTCTGTACGGTACCGACGTTTTCGACCGATAAAAACGGTTAAATTGTCTTTTTTTTGTCTCCTTAAAAAAAAAAAAAAACGATTGTTTGTTTTCGGTCTTTTTTTTTTTCAGCCAAAATTATGTCGACGTACATCGGGAATGCGAATTTCCGGGGCTGGTTTATGCCTGGTAAAAAACGAAGCTGGCTGTCGGGTCAACGTTTCCCTGAAGGGTGAAATCCCAAACTGTCAGTTCGTGTTTTTCACTCAATTGACGAAGCCGTTGCGATCCGGTGTACATCTTCGCGACCTGCAACGATGTTTTCGCGCATAGCGCGACACTTGCGATGCATCAGCGACGCGATTATACCAACCCTAGTCTGTACCTCCCATTCTCTTCACCAAACCTCTCTAACATTCCACATTCAAACATCGCCCAACGTCAAACAGGTACTCACATTCCTGAAGCATTTCAACTCGTTTCACATCTGCTTTCTAGGTCTTCCAACTTATAACACAACGCATGGATAGGGGAGGGTAGATGACCTCACCTCGTAGAGAGGTCGGAGAACTGTAGATCCCATAACGGCCCTAGGCCTCAGGGATAATGCCATGAGATGTTTGAGATAGAAAAATGAGTTATTTTCAAGGTAGTGATTTCGTTTTTAAAAACGACGTTCTTTTCCCAAATTCACCAAACAGAACGACCGTAGTATTCGGACTGTATAATACGGAATCCGTTTTTTTGTGCCTTGCTCACCTGCCGTCCCCTTCCACCGCCCTCACCTGCCGGTCCATGCCCGGAATGAGGTCCACCCACCTCACCTCACCTGCCGGTCCATGCCCGGAATGAGGTCCACCCACCTCACCTCACCTGCCGGTCCATGCCCGGAATGAGGTCCACCCACCTCACCTCACCTGCCGGTCCATGCCCGGAATGAGGTCCACCCACCTCACCTCACCTGCCGGTCCATGCCCGGAATGAGGTCCACCCACCTCACCTCACCTGCCGGTCCATGCCCGGAATGAGGTCCACCCACCTCACCTCACCTGCCGGTCCATGCCCGGAATGAGGTCCACCCACCTCACCTCACCTGCCGGTCCATGCCCGGAATGAGGTCCGCCAGGAGCTTCATCTTGTCGCTGATGCGCGACCGCCGCACCTGATACAAGCAATGCCAGCCAGTGCACGCATGGGGTAACAGTGCCGTGCGCATGGGGAAAGGAGGTCCGTGCACATGGGGTGCAGGGCAGTGCATAGACATACAATGTGGAAAGTTGAGGTGCAACGTGGTAAGCTGAGGCGTCATGTGGTAAGTTGAGGCGCCATGTGGTAAGCTGTGGTGCAATGTGGTAGATTGAGTCGCAAGGTGGAGAGTACGGCGTGATGAGGTACGCTGAGGTGCAACAGCGTGGCAGGGGGAGAAGGCGGAATGGGGCATGTTTGAAGGCACGGAAGCATGTGTGTGGAGCCACAGGAGCGCGTGGAGTCACAGGAGCGTGTGGAGCCACAGGAGCGTGTGGAGCCACAGGAGCGCGTGGAGTCACAGGAGCGTGTGGAGCCACAGGAGCGTGTGGAGCCACAGGAGCGCGTGGAGCCACAGGAGCGTGTGGAGCCACAGGAGCGTGTGGAGCCACAGGAGCGCGTGGAACCACAGGAGCGTGTGGAGCCACAGGAGCGCGTGGAGCCACAGGAGCGTGTGGAGCCACAGGAGCGTGTGGAGCCACAGGAGCGTGTGGAGCCACAGGAGCGTGTGGAGCCACAGGAGCGTGTGGAGCCACAGGAGCGCGTGGAGCCACAGGAGCGTGTGGAGCCACAGGAGCGTGTGGAGCCACAGGAGCGTGTGGAGCCACAGGAGCGTGTGGAGCCACAGGAGCGTGTGGAGCCACAGGAGCGTGTGGAGCCACAGGAGCGCGTGGAGCCACAGGAGCGTGTGGAGCCACAGGAGCGCGTGGAGCCACAGGAGCATGTGGAGCCACAGGAGCGCGTGGAGCCACAGGAGCGTGTGGAGCCACAGGAGCGTGTGGAGCCACAGGATACACCGACGACAAATTCGTGCCTCTCCTTCCCCCTTTCCCATCCGCAACCAAACATCCACCCATCCCTACTTTCATGGTCCCTCCCTACCGTCTCTCGCTTTCGCCCACCCCTCTCAATTTCAAGTCAATCCCTCCCCCTCCTCCCCCTCAGCAGCTCACCAATTGACCCCTCCCTCTCCCCCCCAGCCTCCCCCCGCTCACCCGTTCGGCGATGGAGCGAGGGTGGGTGGCGCAGCCGCGCTTGGCGCGCACCTTGCACAGCACGCCATCTGCCACCGCCGCCGCTCGTGCCTGCCGCTTGCCGTTGCCGCCCCCGCTCACACTCGACCCCCTACCCCCGCCTCCCCCTCTCTGCCGGCCCCGCACCCCCTCCTCCCCTGTGCCTGCTGCACCTAGTGCCCTTCCCACTGGGCGGTGTGCGCCGCTGGGGCTGAAGCGAGGCGCGCGCGGGGAGAGCAGGGGGACGGAGGGCGATGGGGCGGACTGAGGGGACAAGGCGGACGGCGGCTGCAGAGGGGGGGGAGAGGGGGGGGGAGGAATGAGGGAAAGGAGCGATCAGAGGGGCAGGGTGAATGGGAGAGGAGGGGCGGTGTGGGTTGGAAGGGGAAGAGAGGGAGAGCAGAGCACGCAGGGAACTGTGTGGGTAGCTGCCGTCACTCCTCTCCTCTGTGCCAACCACCCACTCACCATGCCCTCTGTGCCCTCTGTGCCCTCTGTGCCCTCTGTGCTCTGCCCTGTCCCTCCATGCGCCCCTCCCACCCCTGCGTGCGCCCCCCCGCCCGCCATCCAGTGCTGCGGGAGCAGCTGCCCCTCCGCCTGCCCGCGCCCACCACTCCCCACGCCCTCGCCCATCCGCCCAAACCCCCCATTCCTGCACTCACCTCAAATTCCCCCCAGGGGATGCTGCACCAGCCAGCAGCCCCTGCTGTACGCGGCTGCTGTAACCCCCCCAGCGCTGCTGCCCCCCACGCCCCTCCCCATCGCCCCCCCACTGCTTCCCCACCCCCAGCGCCACTCCCCAAGGCGAAGCTGTTTCTCCCCATCATGCCCGCGCCCACATCCAGCCCCCCACGCCCCACGCCCTGCCCCTCGAGTGCGCCCTCCCCCCCGGCCCCCAGCGCCAGAGCCAGTGCCTGCGCCACCTGTGCTGGGGAATGCTGCTGTTGCTGCTGCTGCTGCTGCTGCTGCTGCTGGTGGGCGGCAAAGGGGTGCGTGGGAGGGTGGGCGGTGGCGGGGGGGGTCTGCACGAGGCCGTGCAGCTGCATGAGTACCTGCAGGGGCAGCTGCACGCCCTGCCCCGATGCCCCCTGCTGCTGCTGCTGCTGCTGCGCTAGTGATTGGGTGTGGAGATGTGCGGAGTGGGGGCCTGGTGCGGGCGGGTGGCTTAGAGGCAGGGAGGGGTCGGCGGAGGGCAGGGTGAGGCCCAGCAGGCGCAGGTTGGCGCCCGCCTGGTCCAAGTCCGCCAGCTGCGCCTGCGCCTGCTGCAGCAGATCTGCGCTCAAGGGGGGGGGAGGGGAGAAGGGAGGGGAAAGGCAGGGGGAAGGGAGGTGAGGCATGCAGGAGAAGGAGATGGCGCACAGGAGCCTGGCGACAGGGGCGGGACGGCGCTTGGAGGACACGATGTGCCAGTGGAAACGGTCCTTCACCCCACGCTGCCTGGTGCCACGTGTTGCCCCACTGCCTCCCCTCCTAGTCCCAACGTGCCTGTGAGGTAAGCCGAGTTTGCATTCCCTTGGCCACCAGCAAACGGTTCCCCCTGCGCCATCTCTTGCTGCTGCGCCATGTGGTGCTGCCGCCACTCGCTGGGCGGCAGCGCACTGCCTCCAGCGGCGGCAGCAGCGGGCGAGGTGGAGTGGAAGCCGGCCGCCAGGGAGAGGCTGGTCGTCGTGCGCCGCGCCAACGCCGGCTCCACAGCTTCAGCTTCCCCACCCGCGCCCACGCCCGTGCCACCGCCGTCGCGGCTGCTGCCCAGGTCACTGGAGCCGTCACCTGCGTGCGGCCGCCTTGCCGCCTGCGCTGCGGTGCCTCCAGAGGCAGCGGCGCCGGCGCCTGACGCTGCCGGGTGGGGCGTGGAGGGCGCAGGCACGTGTGGCGGCGGGGTGAAGGGGAAGGGCGGCAGGCCATCGGCGGCGGGCGGGCTGAAGGGGAAGTATGCGGAGGGCAGGGCGGGGGACGGCGACAGATGGGGCCACATGGGCGTGGGGGCTGAAGGCGCTGATGGGGCCGATGGGGCGGATGGGGATGTGCACTGGTGAGGGCCAGCAGAGGCGGCGACGAGTTGCGAGTAGAGGAGGTGGTAGGCGGGAGACATGGCGCTGGCAGGTACGGGCAAGGCCTGCGCCGCAGGGAATGATGTCATGCTGCCCGCTGCTGCTGCTGCAGCTGGTGACGGTGACGCTGCTGCCGCACTGGGTGCATCCATGCTGCTGCTGCTGCTGCTGCCGCTGCTGCCGCTGCTGCCGCTGCTGGGGGTGCTGCAAATGGAGATGGGTGTGGAAGCAAGCAGGCATGCGGGTGGGGAGGATCATAGGGCGAGAGTCGAGCGAAGGGTTCAAGCGTAAACGCAGCGGTGGCCTTCATACGCTCCTCCCACGAGTTGTGTCTAGAGTCGCAGCGGCTGCGTTCCAACGTCCGCAGACGTTACCCCCGCCGTGCGCACAAGCCACGCTGGCGGCAGGCACGTGGAAGGGTGGATCAGGGGGGCGACCGGATAGCTTCGCCCTGGGAGGGCGAGGATAAGAGGCGAGGGCAGAGGGACGAGCGAACTTCGAAGTTCAAAGGTTGACGGAGAGAGTAGAGTAACGAGACAAGCGCGCGGGAAAGGAGGAGGGTGAGTAGGACTGCGAGCACTTTTATCCCTTGTCGTTTTCTTCTGAACAGGAACGACTGTTACACTATTATCTCCTGCCCCTCTGTTCTCCTTATCTCCACTTCCACCCTTCCCTTCTCCCTCCCCCGTACACCTCTCCGCTGCTCACTTTCTCTCTCGCCTCTCCTACTTCTTTCTCGGTTCCTTACTCTCCTTTTGCCTTGGCTCATCTCTCACGAGGTTGAGGCATTAGAGCCAGGGCTCGCGCGAGAAATACGGCAGACTTCAATCACTCGCTCTGCTACCGCTCGCTCTCCCAGCATCTAAGCTTGACTGGGGGTCTGGGGTGTTGCAAGTAGCAGTCGTCGGTGAGGAACAGTAGGAGGCGAAATATGGCAAGAAACTTAGATGTGCGGTGAAGGTGGTTTGCCCTTATCTTTTCTGAGCACGAATTGCCGGCTTTGGAAGGTGGGATTGTGTGGATGGAGTGGCGCGGAATCTGCACCTGGTGGTGGATCCCCCCGCCAGCAGCAGCCAGCGCCAGCAGCAGCACTCTCTCCGCCGCCAGAACTCAGCAAGCCCCGCCCCGTCGAAGGCCAATCCAGCCCGTTGCACGATTCCTCCCCAACCTGCTCCGCCGCCTCCACTTGCGCACGCTGCACGCCCCGCCCTCGCGACAATTCGTCTGTCCGCGCCCACGAGTGCCTCGCCAACTGGCGCGCTGGGTTCGGTCTGTGCAGTCAGCCGAGGCAGTGACGGGGGGGCGGGGGGCAGAAGCGAGAGATCGAACGCCAATCAAACTTCGAGATCGTTTGGGGCGACGACAGGCGAAATGACAACTGTTGTGAGGAAGCGAACAAAAACCGGGAAGTGTGGCGAATGGTCGTCCGAACAGTGTTCAAGACTTCGTCCTTTACCCGCCAAAGGACGTTCAAGGCCAGCTCCACGCCTTCAGTGCAGGGCTCTCGGTTCAAGGGTAAACATCCAGAATTTCATGTACATTTCGGGTCTTTCTCGATGAAATCCAGATTTTGAGGTTTTCAGACTCCCAAATCTCCTGACTGATTTCGGACGTTTTCAAGGAAGTCCCTGATCAATCCGGTCTGCACGATGATTTCTCCTGGCCATCGGACTGGCATGTAAAATCACCCGTGCCAGCAGTGCAAACCCCCACCTCTCTGCCACATCTTCCCCTCTACACCCCATGCTCCCCTGACTAATTTTCCATGCAATCTGAAGGTGCGACCAGTGGAACTACACAGCCGCACTAAGTGCAGGGCGGTCAGACCAATCACACGCCCTTAGCCAGGTTGGACATGCAAAGTGTCGACCTTGGTGTGGTGGTGAGGGACAGCAGTAGCTGCAATTGTGTGTTCGTATTCTCTTCCATAGTCACTTCCATCTAAGTCTTTCCCGCTTGTGAGGACTCCGACTGCCCACAGGTTCTACTGATGCAGGGCGTCCAAAAAACACTCTGAGTTCGTAGAAAAACTTTAATGAAGAGAGATTTTCCCGGGAATTCTGATTTTCCAGGATCTTTAGTGACGAGAACCCTGAGAACCCTGGGTCTTGAAAAACGAAAAATTAGCCCTGCTACAGTGCTGTGGGTGGGGGGCTGTTGCTCGCTGCAGTCGCCAGAATTTTCTGGCCACCTCATTGTGTTGCATACACCTGATTGCCGTACATATCCTGTATAAGGGAAGGGGCTCATACCGTTAACTCTATTAAGAACATCCCAAATCATTATCTCAAGCATTTCATAGACAAGCAAGCCAGGAAAATAAGCCAGCTGAAACAATACATCATCCTTCCAACATTGTGAATGACGGTCGTTTCAGACCATTACGCCAAACCAAGGAATTGCAGGCAAGCCTGACGAATCAGACACCCCCAAAACCAATTTGGGGGCCTGATTACCACTGTTCGAATCAGCCAAGCTCTCACAATCTACATTTGCAACATGTTATGTGTTATTTCCCTCTAATCTGCAAAATTGGGGGCCAGCTGGCATTGTTTTTGCCCAAGCCATGTCTTGTCATGAAGGCGAATGCACGGAGGAGATGACGGCATGAGGGCATCCCAAGAGGGGGCCATGACGAAAAGTGTGGAGGTGAGGGCACAAGCCAGCCTGGAACCCAGTCGCCAAGGACTGTCAAAATTGCTGGCAGCAGCAACACGCCATTTGCTGCTTCCACACCCCCTCTGTCCTTCTCCCTCTTGCCCTCCAGTATGTGATAGCATTTGAAGTACTCGCTCGCTGCCTTTCTGCCCTCCTGTCCCTGTGTGCGGCATGGCAGCGCAAGATGGCTCTGCCTACTGGCTCTGCACTCCCCCTCGCAGTGCTGCTCCACTGCATTCACGCTGCTGCTAGACCACTCTAGAAAGTGAGCCCACACATCATAAACAAGCACGTGCACATGTTGCATCCACGCATACAAGCACTCGTGCGAATGCAAGGGCGTGCACCGCGCTGCTCCCACATAGCTCGTGTTACGTCTCCAGTCTCTCCCCCCCCCCCAACACCACAACCCCTCCGCCTGCTCCTCCCTGCCCCTGCCACACTTTCCCCCTGCGCCTGCCACTTGCCCCCTGCCCCTGCCACTTGCCCCCTGCGCCTGTCATTTGCCCCCTGCCCCTGTCACTTGCCCCCTGCGCCTGTCACTTGCCCCCTGCCCCTGTCATTTGCCCCCTGCCCCTGTCACTTGCCCCCTGCGCCTGTCACCTGCCCCCTGCGCCTGTCACCTGTCCCCTGCCCCTGTCACTTGCCCCCTGCCCTGTCACTTGCCCCCTGCCCCTGTCAATTGCCCCCAGCGCGTGTCACTTGCCCCCCGTGCCTGTCACTTGCCGCCTGCCCCGGTGCGCTTGAGCGAGGCAAAGAAGCCGCCTCTCTTCTCCCGCCGCCTGTGCTCGCCCTCGCCCTCATCCTCCACCTGCCAGCGCGGTACACTCACGGCACGCACACCGAGGGTAGGGGCACACAGAGAGGGAGAGAGAGGGGATGGAACGTGGAAGAGGGGGAAAAGGGGGAAAGTTTGGTGGGAAACGAGTGGGGTGAAAGGAGTGGGATGAAAGGAGTGGGGTGAAAGGAGTGAGGTGAAAGGAGTGGGGTGAAAGGAGTGGGGTGAAAGGAGTGGGGTGAAAGGAGTGGGATGAAAGGAGTGGGGTGAAAAGAGTGGGGTGAAAGGAGTGGGGTGAAAGGAGTGGGATGAAAGGAGTGGGGTGAAAGGAGTGGGGTGAAAGGAGTGGGATGAAAGGAGTGGGGTGAAAGGAGTGGGGTGAAAGGAGTGGGGTGAAAGGAGTGGGGTGAAAGGAGTGGGGTGAAAGGAGTGGGATGAAAGGAGTGGGGTGAAAGGAGTGGGGTGAAAGGAGTGGGAAAAAGGGACGGCATTGCCACCTCCTTTTCAAAAAGTGTCTGCCAGCATGACCTCTCACTCACCTCGTGCGCCATGTCAGAGAGCATGCGGAGGACGTGGCTGAACTCAGGGCGCTCCACTGGGTTGGAGTGCCAGCACCGCGCCATCAGCTCCGCCAGCCGCGGGTGCGTGCCCTTCGGGATGGCCGGCCGCAGACCCTGGGGGCGGTGGGGGGGGGTGAGAGCAAGAGCGTCACTGAAGAGGGTGTGGCTCGGTGCAACGTGTGCGGCGCGGTGCAGAACATAGAGCATGCATCACCGCCCTCCACTCCCCACGACCCCTCCTCACCTTCTGAACCACGCTGACAGCGGCTTGCAGGGGTGTGAGATCCGCGTATGGCAGCTGCATGGAGAGGCCACACGCACAGGCACGGCCACAGGCACACACACGACCCCAGACACACGTAAGCTGCGACACATGCATCAAAATGACTGCTTATGCACAGGAGAAACGACTCATACAAATGTTCTCTCAGGTCTCTCAGAAACGACTTCATGAGCAAACCCTGATGACACCTTGCCCTCCATTCACAACTCCTTGCCTCTCACCTTCCCCATGACCTCCCCTCTCACCTTCCTGTGAGCACCTCCCCTCTCACCTTCCCCGTGAGCAGCTCCCAGAGCGTGATGCCAAAGCTGAAGACATCCGCCTTGTGGTCGTACGCGCGGTGCTCGATCACCTGCCATGCGCGGCGCACATGGTACACGGGCGGTTGAGTTTTGGGGCGGTTGATGCAGGTGGAACAGCAACCAGCACCAAGGGGCGGTTGATGCAGGTGGAACAGCAACCAGCACCAAGGGGCGGTTGATGCAGGTGGAACAGCAACCAGCACCAAGGGGCGGTTGATGCAGGTGGAACAGCGAACAGCACCAAGGGGCGGTTGATGCAGGTGGAACAGCAAACAGCACCAAGGGGCGGTTGATGCAGGTGGAACAGCAACCAGCACCAAGGGGAGCACAGAGCGAGCAGATCCTCCACATCCTGCAATCTCTGTGTGCTTGAAGGCAACGGACCTACAGCACGCACCCATCGTACCGCACCCACTCATGTGGGTATGGTCATGTACCGCCAATACCCCCACACTCAATCACACCATAGCCAGTGCATGCCCCATGACCGCACGGTACCTCGGGCGCCATCCAGCAGTACGCACCTCAGGCGCCATCCAGCGGTACGCACCTCGGGCGCCATCCAGCGGTACGCACCTCGGGCGCCATCCAGCGGTACGTGCCGGTCTCGGCCGTCATGATGCCACTGCCCGCCTTCACCCGTGCCACACCAAAGTCCGCCACCTTCACCACCTGCCGCCGGGGGGGAGGCGTCACGGGGCATGGGGCATGGGGCACGGGGCATGGGGCATGGGGCATGGGGGCACGGGCCATGGGGCACGGGGCATGGGACACGGGGCATGGGGCACGGGGCATGGGGCACGGGGCACGGGGCATGGGGCACAGGGCATGGGGCACGGGGCATGGGGCATTGGGCACGGGGCATGGGGCACAGGGCTTTGGGCACGGGGCATGGGGCACGGGGCATGGGGCATGGGGCACGGGGCATAGGGCATGGGGCATGGGGCACGGGGCATGGGACACGGGGCATGGGGCACGGGGCACAGGGCACGGGGCACGGGGCATGGGGCACAGGGCATGGGGCACGGGGCATGGGGCATTGGGCACGGGGCATGGGGCACAGGGCATTGGGCACGGGGCATGGGGCACGGGGCATGGGGCATGGGGCACGGGGCATAGGGCATGGGGCATGGGGCACGGGGCATGGGGCATGGGCATGGGGCACGGGGCATGGGGCACGGGGCATGGGGCATGGGGCATGGGGCACGGGGCAAGGGGCACGGGGCATGGGACACGGGGCACGGGGCATGGGGCGCGGGGCATGGGGCACGGGGCATGGGGCATGGGGCACGGGGGGGGCATGGGGCACTGGGGGGCATGGGGCACGGGGCATGGGGCATGGGGCATGGGGCATGGGGCAT